TTAAAAATTTTAAATCGATATCTTTTGCCGTTTCTCAGAAACTCTCAATGAACCACGAACGTGAAACACCCGTATTTTGTAAATGTGCAACACCCTGTATATAATTAATATATTTTTAAAATAAATAAATAATCTTAATGGTTGTCCATTTATTCAGTGAATAAACTTTTCATTAAAATATACTACTGTCTAGTTGTTATCGAATGTGTTATATTATGTGCCGAATACCGTGGATAACATTTTATACAACATATACAAAAAAATGGCGTGATCTGAAAAAACGCCGAGACACGGGTATCATTTTTTTAAGTCTATTTTCAAAATCTATAGAAATTTTTCGTGGGAGGAAAAATTTTTTGTCGTACTGTGTTAGAATAGTGGCCTGTTTATTGTTGATGTCTAGGTGACTGCACTTGACTTCTTGTTTATGTTAACGTATATTGCGTATCACGGGTGTTTGTTTAGTTTTGGTTTTTTACCGATTTATACGAATAATTACGTTTGCTGTCCTGTGGGATTTTTTTCCTGGTTTGGCTGGTTTATTTTCCTGTTTTATTTTGCTGGTTGAAGACGCTTAACCTCTTCGAGAAAATGCTAGAATACTTTCTTAGTAGAGAATGCACTTGACCCTCTCTTTGGTTTCTTCAGGAGACTGGTACATTGAGTAGTGTAACTGATTTCTTAGACTCTTCACTTGTTGTATTGCATTGCACTATTGTATTAGCGCTTTGCTTTGCCTTACAGAACATCGGGATACAGGTACCTTGATTTACCTGTACAGGTAGTGGCCCTGGGCTTTAATTGCGCACTGTATACACTTAAAATTGCATAACAAACTTAACTATAACGTGACTGATTTATTGTTAGTATTAGGCTTTTTCTACTACCTTACTAGAAATAGTATATTACACTACAAGGGCAGAAAGTGTGAGATTTCTGCCCGTGTAGTCAGTAGCGTAACTAGGGGGGGGGGCGGGGGGGGCGGTCCGCCCCGGGCGGCACTTCTTGGGGCGGCAAAAATCGTGAGAGAAAATGCGAAAAAAACTGGAAGACAGAATATAAAAATAAAAAAAAATATTTGATAATTAAATATTCTCTTTCGAAATAATATAATTCAAATTCCAATAGATTTGAGATTTATACAATTACTCCCAAAATATTCCAAATCAAATAAAGCTAGCAAAAAATAGTTGTTTTTCTTTACCTAGGTCTAAGAATTTTTGTTTGTTTTTAATTCTTAAAATATTACAATTTAATGTTATATATATGTTATACAGTGCTTGCAAATCCAAGTCCGACCACACTGGAAAGGACGGCTGTTCAATACCCGCGTGAAAAGAACAAGGATAGAACGCCAAATAGAATTTGATTGGCCAGAGCCGGCTGCCGGATGCGTGCGAATTGTAAGCGAGGTCAACTCTCAGTCTGGCTGCATTTAGACTAAATGATTTAGTGTCAAGCAAACTGCGTAAGAGTGTAGATGCACATTTTAATTTTCTTTTTAAATATTTTATAGGTACCCGAATCCTAAAAATAAAATTTTTTGATTTTTTCCTTGAGAACTAGGGCAACAACAAAAATAGTATTCTTAATAAAAAAGATTTCTCAAATAAAAAATAATTCTGAATAAAAATAACTAGGTATAAATAAAAATAAAACTCTAAATAAAAATAAAACTCTAAAAATAAATAATAAAAATAAATAAACTCAAAAATTATTAACGGTTCGTCGAATTGTTTCTCTGTTTGGTCTGGCCTCGAACATTCCCGCAAATAATCTTTGAATTTCTCGTTCAGAATTACCAGCAAAATGCCAGATTAAAATCTGAACTTTTTGTTCTAACGTGTACATTTTTTAATTAAATAATCTTTTTCACTAAAATTACTACCTCTTGCTCGCACCACTGCAGTTCTCGTTCTGATATCCTCGTGTCAACCACGCTGCGAGGTGCGCGATGGGTATGCGTTGTCGTAGCCTGCCGGCTGGCCAATCAAATTCTATTTGGCGTTCTATCCTTGTTCTTTTCACGCGGGTATTGAACAGCCGTCCTTTCCAGTGCGGTCGGAGTTGATATTGCAAGCACTGTATACAGGGTGTTTCATAATATATGCGCAGGACTTGAAATTTTAGAAAAAAAAATCGTTTTTTTAGATTATCTCTGGAACCGTTTATCGTACAATAAACAGCTTTTGTAAGCATTTTCTACTCATAATAAGCTATGTTTTGTGCCAGAAAAAAATTTTTTTCCTCATAATTGGTGGAGATTTTGAAGGGGTAGCGGGTGTTTTTCTCCTCAACTTCAACGCCCCTGAAAAAAGTACGGTTTTGAGAGGCCCATTCGAACCGCCAATGTTTTTTACTCAAATGCTGAAATGTGCGAAATGCGTTACCTTTACGGTTTGGAGAATTAGGCAAAGACAACTTTTAAATCATTTTTTATTTTGCAATTATGGTTTGGTTTTGTTACTTGTCCTAACGTTAAAATAAATTTTGTTTAATTAGTAAAAAAAATATTTTTTTTTAAATTGACCATGTTTTTAAACATAAAAGTTGATTTTTCTCGAAAACGGTCAACTTTAGAGCTTATGACCAGGAGTACCTTTTTTGTGTAGAAAACATTGGCGGTTCGAATAGGCCTCTCAAAACTGTACTTTTTTCAGGGGCGTAGAAGTTGAGGAGAAAAACACCCGCTACCCCTTCAAAATCTCCACCAATTATGAGGAAAACAATTTTTTTTCTAGCACAAAACATAGCTTATTTTGAGTAGAAAATGCTTACAAAAGCTGTTTTTTGTACGTACGATAAACGGTTCCGGAGATATTCGAAAAAAACGAATTTTTTTCTAAAATTTCAACACCCTGTACCTCGAAAATTGTGCATTTTAAAGCGTAACTTAATAGCGACTTTTTTCATATTTTTGGATGAGCTATCACATCCTGAAGTCCTGCGCATATATTATGAAACACCCTGTATATAATTATATATTTTTAATTTTGCGTACGGTCCTCAAAACTGACTCCTAACCTAACTTCTCTTACCCCCCCAAAAAAAACATGAGGGCGACAGCCACTGCTGCCCCGGGCGGCACTTTTTCTAGTTACGCCGCTGCGTGTAGTGTATACTATTTTTCTTACTACCTCGACTGAAAATAATAATTGAAAACAAATTTTGAGGTTATATTAGTGTCGTAATCATAGTTGCATATGTTGAACACACGACTAAAAAATTTTTACTCCCGCTATTATAGAGTGTGCGCGTATAGCTTGACCAATGCAAGAAACGTAAACTTTCTGCCGTGAAATCGGGGTCGAAACAACGTATTTTCAGTCGAGGTAGTAAGAAAACCTAATTTTCCACCCCCGAGCGAGGGAGGAAATAGTATATTGTGTTTCAAGGGCAGAAAACTAGCTTTAGCAGCTCGCGGCTATTAACTGCCTGAGCGAGCGAAGCGAAGCGAGGGCAGTTGATAGCTAAGGGCTGCTAATGCGTTTTCTGAATGTGTGACACACACCTGTTTTTCGCCTAGCATCAAACAAATTATTTTTTTAAATTTTATTAATATAAACGGAATTTTATAAAAAACTTCAGTAACAATTTACGAATTTATTTATTGTTGTAATTAATGTTAATTATGCCTTGAGCACAATTGTGGATAGTACCAGAATTTGAAGGCTTATTTCTACAGATGAAGTTAATGTTTCATTAGAATTATCTTTGATCTTTTCGGTAGATAAGCAACTAATACATTTTCTGTTAAGTTTTTGGGTTTTTGATCCCTTTTCCAGTTTTTAAATAATTCATAGCACTTTTCGTACCGTTGCAATTGCGTTAACGCATTGTCTTAACAGCTAGCTAGCTTCCTCTTTTTCAAATCTGGTCAAGTATTCGTAAATTTTTAGTCACTGTCCGAGTTACCATTCATTTTCACTTTATTACAAAATTTAAATTAGGTTTTATTCTTATTTTATACTTTTGTTGTCCATTTTTATTTTGATTTACACAAACGTCTGAAAATCTCAAATGTCAAAATGTTAAATGCCAAAATACATAAATGTCAGTCAAAGGTATCTAGAATGTGAAAAACTAGGGACGATATGAGTTTAGCGACCCTAGAGACAATAAATAATATTTTCGGTCATATTTTTAGGTTTGATATGATTCATTTTTATATGTGCTGGGCGAAAAATGCCTCTTTTCCTCCCCAAACATTCTTTTAACAAACTATATTAATTTTCATATCGCTCTTTCGATTTTTAAGAAAGGAAATTAATTTAAACTATTCTTGCCTCTTTAGCAAGATTTTTCGGCAGGTCTTCTTCGCTAGAACTCATTTTCAAAACGTAGGAAGAATTTCAAATTTATGATAAACATTCTGACAGCTTATAAAAACTGTTATGTATTACCAAAAATACCATAGCAACAAAGCGTTGTCAACATAACGTCGGCGACGCAACACCTACTTAATATTTTGTCATAATTTTATAGCCCCATACCGGGTTAGTAAAAGGAACCGCTTAAAATGTCTTAAAAAAGATAAAAGGTAATAGAAAAAACTATATACATACTAAATTTTCCTCCTGAGGTATGTAATACATTTAATGTATTACATACCTCAGGAGGAAAATGCGTTTCCTTCGCGTCGGGCATCAAACTATTCGCGGGAGGAAAAGCACTATTTTCCTCCCATAGTATGTAAATAGCTATTTATTACTTCCTTATTGTTTAGAAGCTTTTCTTCACACTTATATTTTCTAAAATTTAGCATGGGACACGTTTATCCCAATAGCCCAATTTCTTGGGACTTATATAGCCCACTAGTACGAAAACTCAACAAAAATATAAGTATTGCGGCCAAACTGGAAAACAACAAGTTAGATTAGTTCTGATCGATGTTTGGGAGGGAAAATACGATACAGTGACAATTGTTCGAAATTTTTCTGGGACAAATATAACCATAAGGCTTTCTAATGCAAAAGGGTTAATTTACATTTTTTTTATAGGAATAGAAGGAGGAGCAGGAGTGGCTCCTTTGATCATGGTAAAGCAAAATGGGGTAAAGATAACACTGACGACTCTAAAAACAATAAAAACGAAGGAGACAAAGAAAAGCCAAATTTTGGCCTGTCTGGTAAGCTGACTGAAGAAACCAACACATACAAAGGAGTCGTCATAAAATACAGCGAACCGCCTGAGGCAAGAAAGCCTAGAAGAAGATGGAGACTTTACCCGTTTAAAGGGGAAAAGGCCCTTCAAACACTTTACATACACAGGGAAAGTGCCTATTTGATTGGAAGGGATAGAAAGGTGGTTGATTTGCCGGTTGATCATCCATCATGTTCAAAGCAGCATGCAGCTTTGCAGTATCGACTTGTTCAATTTACCAGGGATGATGGTTCTACTGGTAGGTTATTTTTATTAGGATATATTTCATAAAACGCTTTTGGGTTAAAAATATAATAATTTTAGGTAAAAGGGTGAGACCGTATATAATTGATCTTGAATCAGCTAATGGTACATTCATAAATGACAAAAAAATCGAGCCCAAAAAGTATGTGGAAATGCTTGAGAAAGATGTAATTAAGTTTGGGTTTAGTTCAAGGGAATACGTTCTCTTACATGAAAATAGTAAAGATGAAGGGTTGGATGATGATGTTAAACAAGAAGAAGACCTACCACCTGTTAAAAAAGAAGAGCCTACAGATTAGGTAATTTATTTATGTATTTTAGATTCACAACTTAAAGACTACTCTTAACCTAAATAATTAAATTGTATATAAATGACTGGATTTGGTGACTTTAGGTAACAGTTAATGATACTTTTTTTCATGTTATGTACGCATGTATGTTGAGTTTAATTATACTATATACCAAAATTCAAACGTAATAAAAAAACAAAAAAAAAACACTTAATATTTTTATTGCACTAACCTAAATCACAAATATTATTTACAGTTTTCATACAATTAGCATTGCTTGGTCAATAGTGACTATTTAAGGTAATACTAATTACAGCTACTTATAATAAACTATGAAATACTGAATTTGTGTCTGGCATAACTATTGTTCTCAGTATTTAAAAATTATTGATTATGGTATATGTTTTAAGTAGGAGTTGTATATATATATATATATATAACAAAGCTATATTTTCTTGAATACCAATATGGTACTTAACTATGTACATTTTTATTTTGAAATTCAAAACAATTCTAAATGCATTTCAATAAAACCCTATAAATGCAAATCTTTCATATGTACAATTTAATATCGTTTTGCATTTATAAAATTACGTGAAATTAAATTCAACTAAATTTATTTGTACTTTTTAAGCCACTGTTCTTACTTCTGATATGATTTAAGATTCTTGGATAAACATTATAACTCTACAAATAAATAAATTCGTTATTTACAAAAACAAACATTAACAATTAAAATGCAGTGTTGCCATCCATAGCTAAAATATTGTCTTTTTCATTCGTACTACCATCATTTGTGACATTTAATAAGGAACTTAACGTCGTGGAGTTTTCAAGGCCGTTCTGCACTAGTTGGTTGGGGATTTCGTAACCGTCGTTCTCCAGCTGGACACGCGATTCGTAAATTAACTCCAAGTATTTTGGGGGTTCCGACGACTCGCCGTCAGCTAGAAACGGTCTTAGCGATTCGTCTTCTGACTCATGGTGCCATGAGGTACCTAAAATAAGAAGGAAATATTATTTACAATTAATATGTGACATTGTAAAACTACTTTGTGCGTTTTTTGTTTTTAATGATTAATTTTGTGCTTTGAATAGGAAAAGGACAGAAACATTGACTTTGAGTCTTTTTTAGAAACTCTTTAATTTGTCTAGCAACTATATTCTGATTACTTCAGAGAGTAGCTTAAGTTGGCATTTGTAAAACAGTTGTTTCTTGCCTTAGTTGACATTTAGACAGTTATCTAGCCAAAGTTAAAACAGTTATAGCTATATAAAATCATTATTTAAGTAAGTTTTCTGGCTGAAGGATGTTCGGGCTCGATATTTAGTCACAATAAGAAAAAATTCTACGCTGTAGTAGAGTCCACTAATAACATTTTCAAAGTTTCAGTAGTGAGTAAAAATATTAAAGTTGCTTAAAATACATTAGTTTTGTAGAACATGTATTTTACTTGAAAACCAAAGACAATCTTACTGAAACTTTGTAAATGTCTTATTGATGGACTCTAGCACAACCTAGATTTTTTTTAACATTTTCTTATCGTGACCTAATATGGTGCCCAAAACTTCTTAAGTGGAAATTCTAGACAAACATTTTAACAGTTATCTATTTAAAGTTGTCATTTTTAAGATATAACTAATCTAATTGACATTCTTAGGATAGGGGTTATTTATTTTATTATTGTGTTTGATTTGTTAAGTAACACAAAAGCCTTTTTTATTTCAGTTTCAGAAAATATAGACAGTTTGGTCACTTAACTTAAACTTAAATTTGAATATTGTAAAAGATCAAGACATAAGTTCCTATGATTTAAATTTAATATAATTTACTAATCACCTTTCACTTTAAACTCATTTTCTCTAGAATCTGTTTCCTACCATTTTTACGTTTCAAAACACAAATGTCCCTTATTTTATTAAATGTTTGATGGAATTAGTAGTAGTCATAATTTACCTGAGCTATTATGATTTTCATCTCGAAAATAAGCTTCATTTGATATTCCTTCAAAAACTGCAAAGCATACACGTAATGGTTAGACATGCAATGATTTATAATACAATGATCATTGGTTAACAAACTATTTTATGTTTGGTTAAAATTAATCTGGGTAAAAACATTAATTTTTAGCACAAAAATGTTTGTTAACCAGATTTATAAATATATTACAAAATAAATGATTACCAATTAAGCTTTTAAAAGCAAAACAAACATACAGAATATTGGTAGTTATTTCATGCAATTTGGGTTAAACATAAATAATACTTACGATCAGGTACTGTGCTAATATATTGCCCCTCATGGGCACCAGTGATTGGGTTTCGTAAATTATCTTGATGCAAATTTACAAGTACTTCTAAAGCATATTTAAAAGTCGGCCTTTTATCGGGTATGTATTCCCAACACTTTAACATTAGATTGTGACTAGAAAAGAAAAGAATATGAGTGCCATGGTACTTACAAAGGATGTGTAAACGCCTTGGCCAGTTTTAATTAACAAATTTATTAAAAGTTGGACAGTTAACACTTAAAAAACCCGTAGGGGCGTACTGCAGTATGTGCAATATTAAGTAATAAAGGACGAAAGATAATTTTTATTGTTTTTAATAATGAAAATGATATTTTGTTCTTTATTACTTAATATTGTATGGGGGTAGGAGTTAGTAGCGTAGACCACACCTGAAATTCGTTAATCTACGGATCAATTTTTCCCAGGCTGCCCTTGTGTAAATTTTTATCTAAAAAAGTTTTAATAAGTAAAAATAAGAGTTTTGAAAGTCTCTTAAAAAACTCTGAATAAGACTTATTAAGTCGGAAAAAAGTCAGACTAATCGCAAGATTGGGGAGCCTTCTGGAAGGGTTAATGGTAGGTACCTATAGCGATAAAAATAAATAAATTAGTCAGGGGGGTTGTAGGTATTTGGTTATTGTATAATAAAATACGAGATAGAAAAGTATTTATTAATATTTCTTATGTTGTTATAAGCCAAGTTTATTGCATAATTACCTATATAACATATGTAAGGTGTAATAATTATAACAATTATAATTTTTTACATACGATCCGCTTGACTTGCTTTCATTGTTGCCAATCTACGTTTTATTTTAATAGTTTATTTTTATATAGGTACGCAAATATTGATCTGACCATTGTTACAAACAATTGTTATAAAAACAATAAAACGTGTACTTTTGACGCAATATGGATTTTCTCAGCTGACCAATTAGGTAACAACTGACCGTCATGTGATCGCATCTTCCCGCGTTATCTAGATAGCTCTACGACATAACGTACCATTAAACAAAAGCCATGAAAACAGCTCAAAGATCGACCATATTTGTTTTATGAGTTCGACTGTCCCACACTTCATGTTGCGAAGAATTGTTTTAGTTATAACACCCTATGTAATCAACAAGTGATCTGTATGTACACAAACCAAACATATGTCTCAATTGTTTTATTATGGTAAATTGAAATAAACTTTGCTTACCAACATTGCTTCTGTGTTGTTATAAGCCTTATAACACAAAAACAATGTTTATAAATACTTTTCTTTGTGTTTTCTTTTACAATAACCAAATACAACATCTCCCAAATATTGCTATTAGTTTGACTTAATAAGACTTTATAAGTCTTATTCTGACTTATTCAAAATTTTTAAGATAAAATAAGACTTTCAAAACTTTTATTTTTACCTTACTTTTTCAGAGATAAAATTCTACAAGGGCGTTTACTCATCAAAAATATTTTATAATAATAGTTATACAAGGTGTCCCTAAACTTATTGGCATAAATTTAGGAAAAGATTGAGCAAGTCAAAATAAGACGAAAACCTAAATAAATATTGTTCCTAATTACTTATGTTTCCAAGATACAGGGTGATAAAGTGTTACCTATCATATCAGTTTTTTTAATATAACTTTTACTATGGTAGTCTTGGAAACGTGATATTTTGCGAATAGTCACTTACTACCAAAACACATATTCACACACAATTACAATTGTTTGAGTGAACACAGTGTCGTAGAAACGGTGTTTGCTTTAAGCTTATTGTCCCATACAAACTTTGAGGTTAGGTTTTTATAACATTTGATACAATTTTTCGATTACACAGTAGGGTGGGCCGAAAAAATTATTTTTTGAATTCAATTTAGGGGTACCAAAAAAAAGTTTCCTTATGCCAAAGGTAGTTTGTAAAAAAAAATTTAGCATACTAGCCCAATATTTAAGGGTCCCCCTGGGGGCCCAAAATATTATTTTTTTTATATTTTGTTTGGGGTGGCAACAAAAAGTTACATTATGTTAACAATAATTGTAGAAAAAAATTAGCGTACTAGCCCAATATTTAAGGGTGCCCCGGGGGCCCAACATTTTTTTTTTATATATTAATTGGGGTAACCAAAAAAAAGTTACCTTATGTTAACAATATGTTTACAAAAAAATGTCCAATATTAGAGTTTGACGTAAAAAATTTGGCGGTTTAGCAAATTGTAAATGTTTATAAATTTGGAAATGTTTTTAAAAAATAAAAGAACTAAAAATATTTATAAGTCAAGCAGACGACTTCTATATAAGGTTCGGCAAGTTTCCCTTTCACACGCAAGCGGTGAAAAAGTTTGTGAAGCTTGTAACAGAAGCTGCATTAAAAATTTGCTGTGAGGTAGCAAGAAATGGTTATAACCATATACATATATATAGATGCGCGGACATCTTTACCGGCCTATATGACAAACTGGGTGGGAGGGAGCGGATGGAACTCGAGGAGCAAATATACAATTAATTAATAATAATAATAATAATAATAATAATAATAAAAATGCTTTATTGCGTAAAACACAAAATTAATTACACAAAAGGCTGCGTTCGTAAGGACGTTCTTCCATACCACCTACTAAGAAATTAAATCTATTTTATTCTGCATATCACATATTAATTAAACTAAATCCTATAATTTCATATCACACCAGTTAATAACAAATTTTTGTACTGTAAATTAAATGTGTTTGGATATTTAAATATTATGTTAAAGAATGTTTTATCGTTCAAAAGTTCTATAGATAGTTCTATAAACGAATCCTTAGATTTTGTGACTAGGTATTTGAAAAAGATTGTGTCTTAAATCAAGATTGTGTTTATTGGATCTTTGAATAAAGTTGTTGAATAGGTATTCAGGCAATTATTAGGTATTTACTTTCTGCACTAATTTTCCAAAATTATCCTTGTAAGGATCAATTATTTTTAAATGCTTGTTTTCCAAATAGATTGAAGTAATGGGGTCAAATTTTCCGACTAAATATATGAATCTAATACATGAGTTTATTTTTAAATGTTTCAGTATGATATGAGTAGTAGACTGGCATGCAATAGTCTATAATAAGGTGTATATTAATGTTGAAACAATTTTGCACTTGGTGTTAGAATTTAGAACATACTTAAATTAATATAGTGATTTCAGCTTCATATAACACAAACTAAGTTGTCTTGTAACATGGCATTCAAAGTTCAGGTTTGTATAAAAAAATAACACCCAGATTTCTTGCTGTTTCTTGCTGAGGTATTTCTATATTATTTATATGTATGGTATTAAAATTATATTGTTTTTTATTTATCATATATACTGTACCAATATTTATTACAAGACTCTTTTTGGCATTTAACTGAAGTCTATGATTAACTGACCAAGCATTTACTTCTTTTAAGACTTTATTTATTTCGATAGTGGTTGTGTTAATTAATTTAGAGTAACGCAAAATCTTTTTTAAATTTAATAAAATCAAGCTAAGAGTTGCTAATTTTTTTCATCAAAAGGCGTCTTAATAAAATAATAAAAAAACTTAGACTGATACAGGCATTTGGTTTGTCTATGCAATAATACATGGGGTAACTTTTTGTTGCCATCTCAATTAAAATATATATAAAAAAATTTGGGCCCCCCAGGGCACCCTTAAATATTGGGCAAGAATGGCTATTTTTTTCTAAACATACTGTTAACATGAGGTTACTTTTTGTGGTTACCCCAATTAAAATATGAACAAAAAATATATTTTGGGCCTCCGGGGCACCCTTAAATTTTGGGCTAGTACGCTCATTTTTTTTTAGAATTACTGTTAATATAAGGTAACTTTTGTGGTTACTGCAATTAAAATATGATAAAAAAAATATTTTGGGCCTCCGGGGCACCCTTAAATATTGGGCTAGTACGCTCATTTTTTTTTCTAGAATTACTGTTAACATAAGGTAACTTTTTGTTCCCACCCCAGTCAAAACATACAAAAAAAAATATTTTGGGCCCCCGGGGGACCCTTAAATAATGGGCTAGTACGCTACATTTTTTTCTAATAAATTACTTTTAACATAAGGTAACTTTTTATTGCTACCCAAAAATAAATATCTCAAATATTTTTTTTTTACGTTTTTCGGCCCACCCTATTACACAGTTCGTCTACCATTAAAAAGGTGTACCTCTCAAACTTCGATAAAATAAACCGCTTCCGAGATATTCGAGATTACAAAAATTGTTATATCGCATTATTTAAAAGGATTAAAAGGTATATTATAACAAATTTTATTTTTTAATTGAAAAACCTAAAAACGGCATTTCATGAGCCTCGAAACTTTTTGCCCTCACCGTCACATTAAAAAAAACGATGTGGCTCCCGTCCCGAGGCGGGACTTAAGTTCAGTCCCGATTGACGTCACACACTGTAAATCGGTTTTTATTCCCCGAGATTTTATAATTTGTGTCAAGCTCGATGGCTTAGATGGTAGGGCGGTCGCTTGGCATGCGAGAGGTACCGGGTTCGATCCCACTAGAAGTCAAACTTTTTTTATTTTTTTTAATTTATAAATTTGTTGTTTCTTTGTTAAAAAGTGTTTTATTTTTATCGTAACATAAATTTGCCCATTTTAGTTGGGTTTTTTGCTCAATGGGGCGGGGGGGGGCCAATGGGGCGGGGTCGGTTGGGTTGTGTTGTTGAGTTTGGGTTGGTTTGGTTTTATGACGTAACTAAAGTGCCCTTAACATGTATACAGGTACAATTTATTATTATTATTTTATTATAACATAACAAATCTTAAAATTATGACGTCAATCGGGACTGAACTTAAGTCCCGCCTCGGGACGGGAGCCACAGCGTAAAAAAAATTGTAGTTTTTTCAATTAAAAAATTTGTTATCATATACCTTTGAGTCCTTTAATGCGATATAACAATTATTGTAATCTCGGATATCTCGGAAACGGTTTATTTTATCGAAGTTTGAGAGGTACACCTTTTTAATAGTAGCCGAACTGAGTAATCGAAAAATTGCATCAAATGGTATAAAAACCTAACCTCAAAGTTTGTATGGGACAATAAGCTTAAGCAATCCCTGTTTCTACGGCACTGCGTTCACTCTAACAATTGTAATTATGTGTGAATATGTGTTTTGGTAGTAAGTGACTGTTCGCAAAATATCACTTTTCCAAGTCTACCGTAGTGGAAGTTATATTAAAAAAACTGATATGATAAGTAACACTTTATCACCCTGTATCTTTTAAACATACCTAATTAGGATAAATATTTATTTAGATTTTCGTCTTATTTTGACTTGCTTAATCTGCTCCTAAATTTATGCCACTAAGTTTAGGGACACCTTGTATTCTGAGAAGAAGTTTTTAGATACAGTTTTAACAAAAGTTAAAGCCTACTAATAACTACAAAATGTATGACCGGACTAAATTAAAATTATAAACGTAATACTCACAGATCTTCCGGACAATCGGTAGGTTTTCCGAGACGTCCGCCGCTCCTTACGTAGTGTAAAACTTCTAAATTATTCCGAGCAGGGTACGGCTGCTGGCCCAACGTCATAATTTCCCAAAGTAGGACGCCGAACGCCCATACGTCCGATTGACTAGTAAACACCCCATCCACCAGCGATTCCGGCGCCATCCATCTCACCGGCAACAGCCCTTCGCCCTCCTTCCTGTAGTAGTCGTTCTTGTAGATGTCCCTCGCCAAACCAAAGTCTCCTATCTTGACTATGCGAGTGTCGGTTTCGACCGAAGACACCAAACAGTTTCGACACGCCAAGTCCCTATGAACGAAGTGCATTTCTTCCAGATAGCGGCAGCCTTTGGAAACGTCAACGCACATCTTCAGAAGCTCGATTAGGGTTAAGTTTGGAGTTAACGACGACGGATTCCTCGACGATCTCAAGTAGGTTAGGAGATCTCCTCCCTGCATCAACTCCATTATTATGAAGTTTGGATCGTTATCCAAACAAACTCCAAGCAACTGTAGGATGTGTTCGTGCTTGAAGTGGCTCATTAGTTGCGCCTCTTGCAAAAATTCAGTCTTTTCTTGGTCAGAAGCGCCCTTTCGCAGCGTTTTGACCGCCACCTTGGTCTCCTTGCTACTGCTCAGTATTCCTTTGGCTTTGCCTTCGTACACTTCCCCGAAAGCTCCGCTGCCCAAAAATTTCGTTAAGGTTATCTGATCTCTTCGTATATGAGGTAGTAGTGTTATCTCTTCCGAAGGCGGTTGTGTAGATACATATAAAATATTAGTGCTGTGTACACCTCTTCTCGGAAGCTCTCGTAAGGTGGCCAATTCCACGTCTGGACCCCTAGGGATGGCGACCACTTGCTGGACTTTTTTGGGTTTGCTGCATTTTCGTACATAGGCTAAAATAAGAATTTATTGTAAAGCACTTGTTGTAAAAACAAGGTAAATGGTCTACCAATAAGAACATCCTAAAGTTCATTTTTTTTATCTGGACTGCTGCAACGTTTAGGGTTTTGGTTGGTAAATACAGTTGTCAAATTGGTCGCATTGATTAAAACAAACTAAGCTAGTTATAAATCCAATTGTGGTTATGTATAAATTATTGTAGGTTACATTGTGCAGTTGTCAGTTGGATGAGTAAAATCATATAAAAAAAGTAGTTAAATATAGGTTGCTTTATTGCCACCGCACAGCAAACGGAAAATTATAGAAGTGTATAGGATGACTCCGCGTTTGAATATCAAATCTTAAAGTTTTATCATAACTGTATTGAATCGTGCTTTGTTTTTATATTTTTCGGCTCTATACCTATGCACGACTATATTTAAAGTTAAACTCAATGGTGTCTTACAAGATACATTATTTTGATTTTCTATATTCAACAGATGAGTAGAAACTCGACCCTGTCGAATGGTGCAGTCATTTATGTCTCTAGAAATTATTAAAAAAGGGTTCAGTCCAATGGTGCAGCAACTTCGGATTCCTATTCTCCTCAGAGACATAGAAACTCAAGCTTTTCGAATTTTACTGGCAATGATTTTCGTTAATGTCCCCGAGAATTATACAAAAACAACGCAATGCAATATCGCAACGGTTTCGACTTCTCTTTACTCTACCAAGTTATAGAAACTGGAGTCTCTCTAATACTGTTCTAGTCAATATTTCTGAGAGTATAAAAAGAGGGTGTAATATTGCAAGAAGTTTTGATCTTTTGATGGATGCAAGTACTTTGAATTTCTCCTTTCTGCATATGATTTTGTTGAAAATAGTTCCTTTCTTTGGTTCCTTTATCTGATTTTTAGTTACCGTAACAACTCAGGTATGTAAAGCACAGATGATATGATGTTAAGTATATTTATGTATTATATAAAGTACCTATATTTGTATTAAAAATTTCAGAGGTTATGTTGAAAAAATGATCGATATGCTATTAAACTTTAATAATTTAGTAATTAGGTCTGTTGGTAGACCCTGCACTATCTCCACTGGTATATGTTAGTTTTGTAATATTTAAATCTGGTCGATGAAAAAGTACACACCAGTGCAGGTTATTGTAGCATCTACGAACAAATGAATTAATGGCCCATTGGCAATTATTCCTTTAGGAAAAATATTCAACAGAGCTTAATTAATTAATAAAATGAAAAAAAATCACAATCATGTCGTATATAGTTTTTTTTAAGCATAAAATAATTTTTATATTAATACTAGTTCAAAAGTGAAATTACGACCTCTATACTGTGGAGAGTATTGAAACGCTCGACTGACGAATACAACTCTATACCGTAGGGAGATTTAGAAAACGATATTCAAACGTGGCGTCATGCTATACACCTCTATAATTTTCCGTTTGCTGTGTAAGCCACCAACCTAACAAAAAAACACGAATCCAGATAAAAAAAATGAACTGTAACTTTAAAAGTAAATTAAACGACATTGGTTGGAGAGGAAAATTGCAAATTCAAAGGTTTACTGGGCCGAAAGGTTTATTTATAAAATGTTTTTTTATAAAAGCAATTTTTTTTAGCTAAGTAATTTAAACAAAAATATGCCTAGTAAATTTTTTTGTACGTACTCTTTGACTAGATCGAACATATCTAAAATTTCGATAATAAATAGTATTTATTAAATACTATTAAATAATACAGCAAATGTCAATGATATTTTTTTTAAACATGGTCCCCGAGATTTTATTTCGGACATTCTTATTGGTAAACTCTTTATGATTAACTTACTGTATAAAATGCAAAATACATAGCACATAACAATGATAAACGGTATCCCTATCGCGATAAGTATCAAACTTTCAGGATTTTGTTTTTCCGCCCATCTAGCGGCTTCAGTAAAGTCAAACTCCATGCTTTCTTTACTTGGATTGCTCCATCCGTACGAATTTAACGCTGACACTCTGAAGGAGTATTTAAATTTATCGCTGAGACCTTTTATTATCCACGAAGTATCTAAAAATAAAGAATATTTAACACTGTATATACATTTTATTTATTTACGTACTTGTTCCATTGTATAAAGATTCCCACTGTCGTTCTTCCTCCTCGATGGAAGGTGCCGTATAAAACCAGGCTGATCTATTTGTATTCGTCGTACTTCTTTTATCTCTATACGTTTTTATCTTCATCCCTTCAAGCATATAAATTTCTATGGGCGCTCCATTATCTTTTGCCGCTTCCCACAAAACCTTGTAAACGTTAGGTTTTGCATACTGGATAATCGGAATACCTGGTGGACTAGGTCGATCTCCCAAGGTTTCAAAAGTGAACCTGGAGTCTATGGGCCACAAATACCATTCCGGATATTTATTATAGAGTATTTGTAGACGAAATTTGTACTGCATCTTTGGTTTAAGGTTATTTATAGTGATGAATTTATCTTTTTTGGAAATATCGGCCAATTTCCATTCGTTGGAAGTTATGGGAGAGTATTCGACGCGGTACTCTTGCATGTTTGTGCTTTTCGACCACAATAACTTGAAGGAGTTTGCTGTTTTATTCGCCATTTCTAAATCTGCTGGTTTTGGGTACGTTGTTATCTGGACTCTCGTGCTATCACTCGAGGTTTCGTTGGTTTCGCTGTAAGCTTTTACCCAGACGATGTATGTTGAATTAGGCGACAATTTTTGCAGTAAGGTTGTCATAACACTGCTGTTACTCTTCAGATTCCTTTCCAAAACTGGTTGTTCGCCTTTTTGCCTTACTCCAGACAAACTTCTTTCCGTCTGCCAGTGAATTTCGTAGTACACTTTCAATCCGTTAAGCTCCTTAGGAGGTAACCAATTTACTTCTGCTAGAGTTGGGTTTAAAACTATCGCAGAAACATTTTGCGGCTCGGAAGGAGCTCCAGGTGAAGTTCTATAGACAACCGTAGGACCAACAACTATTTCATCCTCTTGTGAAAAATAGTTGCTAACAGAAATTGTTACGGTGTATTCCGTAAAAGGTTTTAGGTCGCCTATTTCGTAGTACTTCTCAAAAGTCAATATTTCATTACAAACATCAGCAGTACAGTAATTTATTTTGTACTCCGGAGGCGCAATTGATATGTAGGAGCAATTTGGATGTACTGTAATTTCGGGCATTTTTAATACAAAAGAACTGAAAGTCTTTCGCAATAAAGCGGGTTTAAACTGGTCATTTGACAGTTTAATAGGAGTCATGCATTCTCTTCTGGGGTATGGTTGCATATGCTGTCCGAAAATAAGAACATCATGAACATTCACCCTTTTGCTTGTCACGTTAGTTTCGTTGCGTTTCAAAGCATATAGTACGTTTTTGGAAGGGTTATTCCAGTATAGTGTACCAAAATCCGATTTAATTTTCTCCATGGGATAATTACTGACCACTGTGTTATTCGCTATTGTGTTGCAAATGCAGCCTTCCTTGTCGGTGGAAACGATGTTTTTATTTTTGTCGATAAAAATCAGGAGTGGCTTGTTGTTTACGTTCGAGTGATCCACTGTAAAGGTCGGTTCAATGTCATTTATAGTACAATTGCACAACTCGTCGTCGGTTGATCTTTTATTAATTTCATGGCGGTTGAAAAATTCCGCGCAATTTTCTCCATTTGTATCGCATTTCATCAAACGATGGGTGAGTTGGTCGTTGGTTTCAACCCAGTATAACTTTTTCGTGTAAGGCGATATTTCTATTTTGGATATTAAAGATGACGTAGAGTAAATTGGGACCACTTCTATAATATTTTTGTCCAAACGGTTCAAATCTATTTTGTTAATCGTCGATGATTTTTCCAAAATTTCTACAAAATACAAACTCCTCTCCAACCAGTCCACGGTTACACCACTCGCCATTTTTCTGATATCGAAATTTTTGGTCTTGTTCGTACTGGAATCGTACATCAAAAGTTCGTTCATTTGGTTCACCCAGAAGATTTTTTTCTCTTTCAAGAGATACGCTATTTCTATGGGGGTGTTTATACTATGAATCAGTAACTCGCGATGATCTGCATCTATATCATCTATAAAAATGGAGTCTGAAGATGCTATAAGTAGTGTGGGTAAAGGCCATTCCTGACTAGAATTGACCGATATTATCTCGGATAGAACACCATCCCCTTTATCTGTGAAAGCTTGAATCTAAAATAAATATAGTTAATTTTAAAAAAAAAAATATACTATGACGTTTATTACCTGTAGGTAATACACTTCATTATTAACCAAATCGGTTATTTTATACTCTGTTTCGCTAGCATCGGTTGTAGCATTCTCGCAAATATTCATCTCTATATCATTTTCAACATACCAGCATTGAATTTTGTAACCCTTAATTTCGCCATTGGGTTTTACAGGTGAATCCCATCTAAATGTTATAGATACAATGTTGTCGTATTCTGACGAGTTATGCAGGATATCGTTTGTAACATAAGTTCTTAAGTTCACTGGGGCTGATGGTGTCGATGATGGTGAGTAAATTTCTGCTTGAACTTGAGGAGCGGACGCCCAGTATGTGTAAGCTCTTATACCAATGTGCAATTTTATATGGGGCTCGACTTTTTGCCAATATTTAATGAAGGAGTCTGTAGTCAACATCTAAAAATAATACAAATATTAAGTAAATTCAGTGGGTGCTTGTGTTATTAATCTTACTGAAGAGTAGTTCATTTTTCTGGCGAAACTTTCGATTTGTACTTCATAGAAAACTGTCCCGTAGTTCACATTTTCTACAGGATCCCATGATATATTAAAGGATGATGTGGAACCTAATACTTTAATCGAATCTTTATCTATGGCTTCTGGAATAACCACGATTTCTCCGGAAATATTATCTGTAACATAAACGTCAGCATAAAAAATTGCATGGTTTATATTAAACATTACCTGGGCGAGTTTGAAGGGAAGAATCGATTATGTAAACCATGTTTAAGTCTGAAATAGATTTCCCACTGACCGTAGCAACATTTTTACCCGTAAGGTCGCTTATGGCCGCATTTTTATCATCCTGCAGCCAAATTAGGCGGTTGTGGAAGTAACATAAAGGTCCTTGGATGTTGGGTTTTTTCAAAGTATACACTCTTTCAGCCTTTATTACTTTATCGGGCCAATATCCAGCCATTGGAGCCTTAAATAGGTTGGAACCTTCTGATCCCTGAATTATCCAGTATACATATTTGTTATCCATGTCTAGAGTTAAGCCTAAAACTATATTAGAAATAAGAATAATGTTGGTTTTGGTATTAAGTTTAAAATACTTTGTTTGCCCAAAAAAAACTGGGCTTCTTGGTATTCGATACGGTCATCTCCATTTAATCGCGAGCATTCAACAGCGTAGCCTGTAGACCAATATAAGTAGGCTTTGACGGAATCTATGCTAAGTTCCTTGGCCACTATGTAGATTGGTAGGTGTTCTTTTTGACCTCCGTTAAGATTGCTACGAATTATCTGCAAAATATAAATTAGGTAAGTAAAGATAAAGATAGTTTTTGTTTGGGTTTTTACCAAAGGTTGTTTAGGGTTGGACCAATAAATTTTCCTTCCAATCCAGTCGATTGCAATCCCTCTAACGGAATACATATCTGGTAGAATACCTTGCTCGTGGGATGTGGTGTTCAGCCAAATTACTTCAGAATTATTGGTAACCAAATAAATTTTATCCTTGTACCAACTCACATCGATGTAATTAATGCTGTTGATTTTATTTTTGTGCAATAAAGTCTCCACGTTCTCACCGGCGGCATCGGATTTTAATAAACCTTCAGTAGCCGACCACAAAATCATCGATTTTTTGGATTCGCTTAGAGTTATACCACGGAACTCCCTTGACGCAGGGCTTTTACCAAAAGAAGTGTAAGCAGTAACATTAATGGTGTACTCTGTATTTTCTTGAAGGTTTCTTATGGTGTATGATGTCGTCATAATGTTTTTGATTATTTGTGTACTGTTTCTGACTACATCAGTTACCGAAACCTCATACGTCCAATTTTGCCAAGCACCTCTCAAACTTTGATGTCCTACTAGATGCGGTGCCTGCCATTTTATTTTCGCAAGATTGCAGCCGAAAATGGCTTCAACATTACTGGGGGGGTTTACAGGAACCGGTGTAGGCTGAGAACTCGGTTGATTTATAAAGATTTTCTTGTAGAAATGTTCAGTGCGACTGGGTATTGTGTTGTGGAAGTAACTCTCATATATTTGATTGTATTCTTCGAAGTACAACTTGTTACTATCCACCCAGTAGAACTTTTTGTTTGTGTAAGCCATTGAAATCACTTTTTGCATTTTGGATTTGGTTACTTTACTTCTCATGTTTGACTTATCCTTACCATCAAAAGATACTTTATAAATGGTATTTTGTTCTTGATACGAGACATACAAAAGGAAGTTGGAGTAGTCTACCAGAAAGGCACCCAAAGACGAATCACTTAAAATCATTTTAGGCTGAATTTCGTGTTTAATACCATTGCTTATGTCGGCCAAATCCAACTTATATAAACCACCCTTTACTTCATCCTGAATGGCCCAGAATAAAAAACCATTGCAAGGATCCACTTCTATAGACGAAGGCTTTACACTCAAACCAGCAATCGCAACAGTTAAACCTTTTCCCTCCAATGAACACCTCAATATTTGGTACATGTTGTTCGACGCCTGAGCCAAAATGTATAGCTGATCATTAAGCCAATCAACCGACAAATCGAGCGGTTGAAAATTGATTTGAGTCGAATCCAGAACCACTGCAGGTTCTACGGGATACGTTGAACGATTAAGGGATATTTTCACTATTTGTCCCCCGGAATTCGAGATGAACAAAAGCTTTTTTTGCACGTGAATACCCATACCATAAAATTTATGGTTGTTGTCTTTATAGAGCACATCCTGATCGTCTGTTATGGTGGCTTCTTGCTCTATAATACTTGATTCAGTACCTAATATCAATACTGGACGTTTAGCGTCTCTTACTATAAAGAAATATAGTTGTAATTAACGTATTTTAATCATATGGGGTACTTACTGGTTCTTTCAGGGGGTGTTGTAATAGTGGTTATAGCGGCAGGACCAGGTCCAACAGTGTTTCTCATACTAATTGAAATGTTGTACTGCCTTTGAGGATGCAAGTTGTGAAATAAATAAAACTGAGTGTCTGGAGGAATATCCTATGAAATAATGTTAAATTAGTATTTGCACATATTGTTTATGGATTCTGTTAATAAGTAAAGAAGCAACCACCAAGGAATGTTAATAGAGTAATTGAAAATTAGTTACAACTACAGTTGTATAGATTGTACTGACCTTTCTGGGTATCCCAAATGTAAAGTAAGCAAGAAACAGTAATTTTAGAATAAGATAATTACGTTGTTAATAAAATAATGTGCAAAAGAAACTAAAAATGTGAGTTAGATCATAATGGGTATTTAAGGTAATGATTTGCAAAATGTTCTTTATGAAACAAGTAAATAGAGATAAATAAATTGATGGAAAAACTCGACTGTATTTGTAATGGTAAAAATATTCAAATTTCAATGTTTGTGACAATTTTGCATATCATTAACTTATTGAACACCTCGATGCACACCTTGACTTCCGAATGATAATCTGAATGAGTGTCGGTGATTTGGAGCACGTAGGATAGGAGAGGGCCATGCGGGAATAGGCCGGGTTCCCAGCTGACGCTAATACTTGAGTAATCGACAGGGGCGGCTCGTACAATATTTGGCGGCGAAGTGGGCAGCCCGTGAGGGGCGGTACTGATCACCACACTCTGGTTCGAGAAGATCCTGTACTGCATAAAGAATCCCAATATGGAAATCGCTATTCGAAACTAAAAATAATACAACAATAAGATTTTAATCTTTGGTCTTATGCACAAAACATTTTAGTGGTTGCCTTATGCACAAAACATTTTAGTCGATGTATGGCCAAGCTGTATTTTTGTAATACAATTATTTTATCTTTGAATACAATGTACGAATTAACCGTATTCAGCAGTATATCGATGTCTATTTGGATGTTATTTGGCGTTCTTTTGGTCCATTTCTTTGACATTGGAACGTCCATTGGATTTCCTGCGTAATCCCTCAAGTAATGAAATTCGACAGATATTTTTTATCGGTAAAATGCCATTATTTCCAGTTAAAGGAAAATTCGACTTAAGGCCCCACATAATTCGTTGTCAAAAACGCCAAAAACTGATTTATGTGGTGCAAAACCGTCAGATTTGGTGTTTTTGACACGATGTTCCAAATCGTGACGATACAAACGGATGAAAAAAGAAGTCTGTGGGTGCCTTTAGGGAGTCGACTTTAAGAGAGTGCGAATAAATTAAAAATAATTCGACAAATTTTTGAAAACCAGGTCAACTTACTTGTCATTGCATGATTAAAAAGTTTTGTGCATACAGCCATTTGTGTATGGTTTAACACTAAACCCAAATTTATTGTAATAAAACGTTCAACATTTATTAATTTTTAATCAGTGATTTTTTAACAGCTTTTAAAATTTTGATGGTTTTGTTGATGGTTTGTTATAAAAGTTATATTAATAGGTGCGTTCTTTTCGCCTGAGATCTCAGTTAATCTCAGCTCACATCGGTAAAATTTGCAAATGTGCGCGTTCTTTTTGCTTCACTTACCATAAAGTGAGCTGAGATTTTTCCTCCCTCTCACCGATACTGAACATGCTGTGCAGTCAGTAAGTCAGTTTGAATTAAGTCAGAAATAAAGTGGAGGGGATAAAGAAATTATTGATTTGTTAAGTTTTTAAATAACATAACCTAATCTTATTTAGGTGATTTTTTGCAATAAAACTCCATAAAAAATAATTTAATTTTGTAAATTAGCTATAAACTTGATATAATAAATAAAATTGGTAAAAAATTGTTTTTCAGAGCTAGAAAAACACTTTTTACAATAAAATTAAACAAAACATGTCAAGTGAATTTTTTTTTTTAATTTTTATTTTATGTCATTTTATCACCTTCATCGTCTTCATCAAATAAAACCTTTATTATTATTTTTGTATTATCCATAATTCAACGCAAATTTAAACATAGAAAACCACGAAATTTAAACCAATAAGGATATGACACAGAACATAATGATATCAGAGATATAGTCCAGGAAACAAAGATTGTATAAGGAAAACTCGATGGTAGTCGGGTTTTATTTTTTATGTAGTCAGGGGTGCTGATAATAAATCAAGAATATTCTCCAAAAATTTCTTTCCGCGTCCCCTAATTTCATCTCCCGAAAGGGGAGTTTTTTTGCTTTTTGGCTCATAACTCGCTAACCGTGCATTTTTTCAGAATTTGACCTCTAATACTTTTGATTATGTACTAAATAGGGCACACACAAAATCACTTTTTTGTTTTTTTTTATTATAGCCCAATTTTAAAAGTAATCGATCCCAAACCTTACGGTAATCAAACATAACCGAATGGACGATTTTTTGAGGTACTAGACTTTTTTCAAAAGTTACTGCTTTTCAATGTACAGGGGGTTTTTTATCAAAACATTAATTTTTGTGGGGCACTTGCAATGAAAATAATTTAAAAAAACTACGGATTGGTTACGAGGATAAGTGTAACTAAAAATCTAGGGTAGAACGAACTGGCTCATTAAAGCCGTTTGAGAAATAAAAAATGGGTTGGGTTGCCTTATTTAGTACATAATCAAAAGTATTAGTAGTCAAATTCTGAAAAAATGCACGGTTAGCGAGTTATTAGCCAAAAAGCAAAAAAACTCCCCTTTCGGGGGATGAAATTAGGGGACGCGGAAAGAAATTTTGGGGAATATTCTTGATTCATTATCAGCACCCCTGACTACCAAAAATAAAATAAAAACCGACTACCATCGAGTTTTCCTTCTACAATCTTTGTTTCCTGGACTAATGGTTATGTTGCCTCTTATTCACGTATACGCCGTCAGATTGCGCGTTTCAATTGATATAAAATTAAAAATATTTTTTAATAGTCGTAGCTTATGAAGCATTTTTCACTCCATGTTCTTAGAAACATGTTTTCATATTTTGCTTGATAAAATCACTGCTTAAAATTTTTCGAATTTCGAACTAGGTAGATACAAATTTTAATTAATTGTGATAAATAAACGAAATTTAAGAAAATGGATTCTTTAAAGGTGTTTTACCTAACCAGACCTACCTATCGTTGATTAAAGATGACTCTTTACTCAACGGTATTCATTTAGTGAAGTTGTACACACTTACTCTATATTTTGTGTAAGGTTGCAAATTAACAATCAAAACAACATTTTCGTTGGAATCCCAGGTAACGTTACTCCAATATTGCCATTGATCAATTTCCTCCAGCTTTACTTGAACGGAGCATACGAGTCCTTCTCTTCTAGCATCCGGAAAATGCCATTCCAGCTTTAGCGAAGTGGCGCCCAAGGAATCCGCTACCAAAGCCGGTGCTGGGGGAACCCCCAACTGTACTTTCAGGCGCTGGTGGAACTTCGATATGGCGTCGTTGCAGCCCATAACGCAGTGGGGAATTTTTTGCGACAGCCTGTCCAATTCGCCAGTGTACTGAAGAAATATAATGAATTAAAAGTTGACAAAAGATTTTGTAGACAGTTAACTTACGCAGGCATTTTGACATGTTGAATTTAGGGCTTTCCTCCATAAAATGCATCCTCGTTTACACTGCAAAAAAGAATCCAAATTATAGGAAAAAACAAAGCATTCTATTATTTTAAATCGAATTGCTACATTACCAGGAAATAATATTTTTCATAAAAACTAGAACTGCTCCTTAAAGTCTTTTTAAATTGTTCCAAAAACTTTTTTCCCTTCGAGAAATTTTTAGTTGAAATTTATGATTAAAACGATAAATTTAAATTTAACCTTAACCAAACTCATAAATTTCAAATAACGTTTTGCCGAAGAGTAAAAATAACATTGAAAAAATACGAAAGTGTGGTACAGATGGCGTAACAGATTTTGGGGAGAAAAAAATACCTTGCGACGTAAAATAACCTTAAACTTATATCTTCTAGAAAAGCTGATGTGATGGGCAACTCCAAGGTCGACTATGGGTCGTTTTCAAAAAACACCCGCCTTCCGCTGTCCGTAAGTTTGAATAACTTTGTTAAAAATTATCGGATCTTATAGATTTAAAAACCAAGTGAAAGCCTAACAAGCCATTAGTAAACTTTTTCAGAAAATGTTTGTTTAGTTATTTAAGAATAATTTTTTTTAATTTTGAAACTTGTGAAACACACATTTTCGCATGTCCCATTAGCGTTTTATAAAATTATTATACATGTTTTTTTTTTAAATATTGAATAACCAGAACTTTGTGTTGCTTTATAGCAATCCATAACGTCTTTAGTTAATAAAGTAAACAATTTATATATAAATTAATTAATTTTAATCCACTTTTTTTAAATTTGACTCATGTCCCAGACATTTTTTCCGTTGCGTTACGTCCGTAGCGTTACCGATAGAATATTTATGGCAACTTTTTTGGCACTCACGTGATTAACAAATGATGTTCGGACGTAAACATTACCCAGCTGAATTTATTTATTCAATCAGGAAGAAGATATCGGTTAAAACAGGTGCGGGTAACGCGAATGTAATAATTGTTTGTCCGCTAAGTTACTCAAAAAAATAAATAAAAATAAGGTAAGAAAAAATACTATTTTTCATGTTTAATTTTAGGGCACTAAAGCTCATTGAAAGTAATTAATAATAATAATTTATTATTATTTTTTAAATATGGTTTCACAAAACTTTGCCCACTGCGTTACCGAGTCCATTACGTTACCTTATGGTAACGCAATGGAATTTAGGGTAACGCAATAGAATTTTTCGACAATAAAGTGGATATTTACCGTCGCTTTTATTAAAAGTAGTTTATGATAAACCAATTTAAAATTATTTGTGATTACAACTCATGATATAGATTACATCCAAGGGAAAATTCCACGCAGTATACAAGTACTAAAAGACACCAGCTTATAGTCAAAGAAAAAGGGTGTCTATAATTTAGAAATCTAAGTTGTTATTCTGCAAGTGAGCACCACTACAAGGGATTTTGTTTATGCATTAATCTAAAATCGTACCACCCTATATAGTTTCTTTTTTACGTTATCTGATTAAGTCCTTTGAGTACACCAGTCCGTTGTGATACCAATGTCTATTTCGTTACTTTTTTTAGTTTTTGTTAAAAAAAATCCTTAAAATGATTTTACTACCACTTGGTAATACCTGTTTATAAATTAGAGTTTAACTCACTAATACAGTGACTAAAAGAAAATATTAATGGTATTGTTTTTTTAACAAAGAATCGGAATGGTGTTTTTTAAAAAGTAACTTAACTAACATAAATATTTAAAAAAGGCATACAATTTTTAATAAAAAATTAAATTGGAGTCAAAAGTTTGTGAACTAAGTACATTTTATTTCAAATTATTTTTACAACAACTTTTTTTATTGAATTAAATTTTGGATTTCAAATTGGTAACACAGTGGAGACATATAAAGCTAGCTAAACACATTTTTCTGAAAAAAACGTAAAAAAAATTAAAAAGTGCACTGCCTGTCTTAAATGTAATTAAACAAAACTCTAAACATTTATAAAAATCCAACCAAAAGTCAATTTAAGCAAAAAAAAATTTGATCTTCATTTTCCTGAAAGCGGGTGTTTCTTGAAAATGACCCCTATAAAGAATGGTTTCTGTTAGAAACTTTCTGATTAAAATCGTATGTTTTGAATTTAATTTTTTTTACTGTTTAGTTAAACTTTTGTTTTTAGGAGGGTATTTTAGTAGTACGATTATTCTTATTAAGGATGTTTATTTTAAGAAGAGCAATATTTTTTATACTCTAAATTGTCTGCCGGCGGATATCCTATATACTCTTGCAAAAAAAGTAAATGATAACATCCTAATTTTGATTTTGAAGCATTTTAATAAACGAATATAAAAGAGCAGATGCGTTCATGGGAAACAATGGTCAGTGAATTAAAGTTTTGTTTTTGTTTTGCGACATACGCATTCTAATTATTGCATCCGCTCCTAAATGCCGAAGAGTCACACGCTTATTTGGCCCAACGGTCGTGTCCAACATAGGTGATGGACCCTGTTTTATTTATATTAAAACGGACCCTGTGTCCCAAGTCAGCAGACATTATGGTAATTTAATTGCATTAAGAGAAGTAAATTAATTAATTCACATACCAAAGTCTTGGGTTTGCAAGAACTATCTGCTTGGTAAATTTAATCTTTGGTCTAGCATTTCGCCCACGAATTGGTTAAAAAATAAACAATCAGGGAATTCATTATTTCGCTCACTTTGAGCAGTGCCAGGATATTACATATATGTATATGTATATATGTATATATACATTGCAGGTGTTGAATAAAAGATCTTTAACAATCTTTAATTAAATAATTTTTGAAAAATTACAATTTTTTCCAAAATCACCAAAATTTTGTTTCCATTCATTGGACATATTGAAATAAGTTAAGGAGTGTGCGCAAATGTTAGGGCTGAAAGTATGTTTTTTAATAAAGAATTTTAATTTTTTTTCGAAAGGCAACTTTACAAAATGTCGGTATGCGGAAATTTTTTCACTGTTTAATTTTGGAAATATTTTAAAACAAAGAAACTTACTATTTTCCATTGTTTATACTGTCAAAAAAAAGTGCTGAAATTTTAGATTTTTTCATTCTACCAGTGGCGGCTGGTGGATTTTGGGTATACCAATCAGGGCCGTGCGGTAGATTTTTTCAGTATAATGCAAGTTTTCGAAATGCCGCCCTTAACTGATGCTATTGAAATGTTTTCTCTTTAATAACCTCGATTGGAATTCACAAGAAAACTGCACAAAATGTATGAAAACTATTTTTATTTTGAAAAAAAAACCTTCATATAAACTACCTCTAACAATAATATTAAGTGTTACTATAATTTTACCCTTCTAACTTTTATTTTAGCAAATTTGTTAATTAAAGATGTGTAATCAAGAGTGGCAGCTAATGTAGATTCAATAGATATTATTGATAGATTTTTAAGTTTTGTTTGGCTCATTGAATTTCTTAAGTAGTTTTTTATTAGTTTTAATTTTGAAAAACTTCTTTTCCCACTAGCTACAGATGCAGGGAGTGTTAATAAAATTCGCAAAGCTATAAAAGTGTTCGGATATAAAGTATTTAAGTTATTTTGGCACAAGTAATTCAAAACATTTAAAGGTTTCATAGAATAATTCAGCATCAAGGATACATCATTTAGTTCTTGTAGGTCATTTGCATTTATATCTGAATCATTTTCCACCGAAAGTATTGTCATCTATATCTTTCAGTTTAAAAACCTATATTTTTTATTTTGATGTTGCTGCTAATGCCGCCCCTTTACGGTGCCGCCTGATGCGGCCGCATCTCCGCATCATATCACGGCACGGCCCTGATACCAATATCTCAATTATTAGATATGGGACCCACACCAAATTTATATGATAAACTCGAGTTTATAATGACATTAAATAAACAAGTTCTGTGCAAGCAGAATTTAAATTGAAGTTTTCGAAAAAAAGATAACTTTTTGCTCAGCCGTGCCGGCCCCATGGCGCCCCCAATAAATATAATATAAATTTAATTGGTGCAATTTATTATTTACTATAGTTTATCGACAAATTTCAAATTTCATTTAAAAATCCGATTTTATACCATTTTAAATTTTTAATATTTCTTTTTAAAGAAAAATTTAAAATGATCTGAATGATTTGGATTTTTTAAATAAAATTTGAAATTTGTCGATAATCTATGGTTAATAATAAATTGCACCAATTAAATTTATATTATATTTATTGGGGGCGCCAATTTAAATTCTGCGTCAGTCGGCCAATTTGGCATGAAAACATATACAGTGAGTTTGATTTAAGCTGTGCAACACCTCATTATTTTTTAAAGCGTTAACCGATTTTAATATATTTTTTTTAGAATATACTGCCTTATGAGATCTTTTTGACCATGTGGAAAAATTATAAATTTTAATTTTTTCAGGGCTTGATAAGATCTGCTGAATGGGTCGAAATTTAAAAACGGCCATTAGGCGATTAGGCGAGTATAAAAATATCATTTTTTTTTTCATAAAAACGTTTTATTAAAATTTCGGGGGGTTTTCGTCCCCAACCCCCCATTAGATATCTGATATGGCTTTAAGTCGAATGAATACTTTTTTGTACGCATTCGAATTTTATACAGAGTCAATTTTTTTTGAGAAAAATTGAATGTTCTACCCTTAAAAAATGGAAGTTTAAAATTTTTATACATGGTTGAATAAATAAATCGAGAACTATGACCAAAACAAAAATATACCAAAATAGTGGGGTGTTGTTGTACTTGATTTATTTTTTCAGAAATTGAATAAATTACACTGTAATTTTTGCCAATCGCAGAAATAAAACTTTTAGACCTGTTTGGTAACTAAAATAATTTTCTAAATAAACTTTTAAAAAATATTTTATATTTAATAGGCATTAACTAAAAAATACTTAGTTTTGTAAATTAAATTAAAAATATAAAAAACAGAATATAGAAAAAAAGAGTTTGTTCCAAACTGACCTGAAATCGAGACATATGCTCGTTAAAATGATCTAAGTAAGCTTTTGTTATTATTAATAATAATTATTAATAATA